TAGATGATTTAATTAGTATAAATAATCATGAGATAAATAATTTTATTAATACTATTTATCCAGTAGAATTAGAAATTGAAAATACTTCAATCTCGGATGTAGAGGCACATTATTTAGCTCTTGAAATTAAAATAATTGATAACGATATCAATCTAAATGTTTTTGATAAAAGAAAATATTTTTCTCTTCCAATATACGGTTGTAATAAATTACAATATTTCATTATTAATGTTGAAATATTAATACAGAAATTAATATTCAACAGATTTAATAAAGAAACTTTGAATAAAATTATTAAAATATTCTGTAATAAATATAAGAACATTAATATTAAATAAATATACAGAAGTAAACATTAAGGAGATTTTGCTGATAGTTTCCAATAAGTATTCTTGTTTTAATAAGGTAATTTAAACAACTTGGTACTACTTTTATGTGGATGAACACCTTATCGCATGTAAAGGCTTGTGTAGCGTCTGAAAATTTGTAGCTACAGTGGACTTAAAGGTTGGTGGTTGGGAGTTATACTAGTTAGTTTAGATAACTTGGTTGGGATGTTGTACTAGTATAATTTGTCTACTGTGCTACTAATTAGTGCTTTACTACTACAATGGGGCTGGAATACCAACCTCAGGAGGTAAGTTTACATTACTTACCCCCAAGCAGTAGTACTTTATTTTGTATTTCTTTATTATTTTTTTTTCTACCTTTTTTTATTTATTAATTTTACTTTGGAGAGCAACAAGCAGTGAAGGGTGATATAGGTGTGGGACGTTGTGAGCTAGAGCACCCACATCTCGTTCTCCTAATTTCTACTTTTGAATATTTTTTTAATTTCTTCACGTGAGACTAGTGAACGGAGGTTAAGACTGACAGACGGTGTATCCCCACCGCAATGTGGGTCCTACTTCCGCAGTCATCTCCAACACCCAGGGCACATATTATATCCCACATTATAGCCTGTGCCCTGGGGATCCTTTTGATTTGTGCAGCGTCTTTGTTTAACTTTTGTTTGGGCTTGTTTTTTGTTCATTTAAATGTCATTTATCATTGCTGTTTTTAACGCAGTCATTCCTTCGGATTCTCTATTGCTTGACTGTTTGAGTATTGATCTCCTATATATATATATATACATACATAAAACACTTTAGGCAAAACATTATAATGAAACTGCCCAAACCAACTACTCCACTACTACTCAAAGTGCTTAATAGTAAACACATTACAAATACATATACATTAAAACTCGTAGCAATCACTGAATAAATGTTACCACGGTAACATTACCTCATAAATTGGCAGAATAGCAGAGTTCCACTGCTGAATGCGAGTTTCACTTTTATCAACTACAACCACCTGAATGTCTGGGCATTTTAGGGCTATTACAGTGCAAGTTGGACCTCCAACGTATCCTGCACCGAGACAGCAAATCTTCTTGATCATCATAGTCAACTGATGTCTTCAATCTGATCTTTACTTATGGTGCACTGAAACACGTATTTTCTTGGATCAATCTCAGTCCTTGCTCTATCAATCGTCAGTATCATAGAGTGTTAACATTAATGACAGTTAATAAATACTACTGCAGTGTGTACGTAATATCAAATTATACTTGTCTTATCTTCAGTTCCTGTACACTGACAATCATAAGAAACAAGCTATCAAAACTTCTTGGCTCAATTTTGACATCACATAATGAGCACATGGTTTAATGTCTGAATTTTTTCCCCAAAGTTTTAAAACAGTTTTAAGCCAGATATAAAGAGCTAGTTAGGTTAGTGTTAACAAGTGAGTCTGTTAGTCAGTTTATATGTAATCAGTGCATGATTTAGTCAGTTTGACTGCTACTGTCAGCCAGATAGTTCAGTTCCAGAAACTTTGAATGTTTTTGTGAAAATTGGAAATGAAGCAGAATTTCTGTTTTTATGTTGTTTATTAGTGAAGTTATACCTATCATTACTTGCATAAAACCATGAACTTGCAAGTTCATGGTTTTATGCAACTAATGATAGGTATAACTTCAAGTTCATGGTTTTATGCAACTAATGATAGGTATAATTTTAGTCAAAAAAATAAATTAAGTACACTTCAATTTGCATTCTTCTCTTTAACAAACAATCAGGAAAAACCTGTCCAAAATAGAAATCATTAGACTTATGTCAGAAGATGGATTATTTCAGTAAAAACAAAATCAACTCTGAACTTCAAGATTATAAATGTCTCATGACAAGCATAATTATTAAAGATGCTCAAAACACGATTGAAAATTTAGTAAAAATGATGAAAACCGGAAAGAAAACCAAGACGAAAGGCAAAAAATTAAAAGGTGAAAAAGAAAACTATAAGAAGTTGAAGAAGAGAGAGACAGGAACTTAAAAGGAATTATAAAAATGAAACAGAAAATTTAGAGAAGAATTATGAGGGGAAATCATAATTTGACTGAAGACAAGATCAAGAAAACCAAAGGAAATGTACAGAAGGAATTCAGTGTCAAAATAAAACATTTAGAAACTGAACTGGTAAGTGTAAGATGCTAAAGTTATCATTTTCCTAAACTTAAAATGTATTTCCAAACATACTTACCTCTGCTGACACTAATAGCTATTTCTTGATCTTCATCTTTGCCATCTAAAGTTGTGTTCGCTTGCTCCAGTCTTTATGTACGCCACTCGACTGCCCTCGGCAATATCTAATTTGCAAAACTTTATGCCGGCCCTGACACGCCTTCTATGCAGGTACTGTATATAAGCACTGTATGTAGACAATAAAATCACTTTTTCGAGACTTACCTCATTCTGGTCACTAACACTGGCTCTTAGTGAGGGAGGAAGGTAGGGAGAGTGTCAGCGGTGGTAAGTATGTTTGGAAATACATTTTCAGCTGACACTAATAGCTAGAATCCCACATTTAGAAGGCAGAGGGGCCAGTGAGGACATAGATCACATAGAAATTGTCTGCAGAGAACAAATATGTACCATGAGAAGTGGGGAACCTCACACCACATCCAGAACAGGTATGCTCTTCACTCTGAACTACAGAAAATTGAAAAGGGTGGAATATAATACAAGTATAATGGTCCAGCCCTGACAAAACAGCTGAGGTTCCACAACTTGGGTTGGATTTAAGGGGTCATGGTACCCATATCCCACGTTGTTGACCAGAGCAGTTGGACCACAGATATATACATCTTTGTGATATGATCCCTACCAGTAACAACAAAATGATGCATTTCAAACCACCAGATTTATGAAAGAAAGAAAGCAACACCAAAGAGGGCAATCCTTCTGATCAACCTGAAGAAGTCCAAAAGGCAACAGCCCAGGTCTGGATTGACAGGATCATATGTCCAACTCCACCAAAGTCCAGAACTCACCCAGTCTGGATTTACAAACAGTTGTCTTTAGTCCCCCACTAAGTGGGCAAGGAGAATTCCACTTACCCATAGGACACCATCCCACCAAGGACCAAAGATGGGACCTTGCCGTGTCTGGATTTACGAGGAGATAGTGGATCCCCTGCATGAACAACCCAAGATCTGACAGTGTTTATAAGAGGGCCCAAACCCCCCCCCAACATCAAATCTGGACTGTTTTTACAAGTAGGCTTTTATGAAGGTTGGTCTTGCTCCTACCAACATCTGGGAAAAACTTCCAGGAAAATCCTCTGTCCACCACCTCAGCAAGTGGGAACTGGGTGTGGTAAGGACTCCCGAGCTCCACTAGTAGAAGTAAGGGGGGAACATAAGCATTGGGGAGTCCTGAGGAACAGGTCTCCGGAGACAGTGCAACAGGTAAATCACATTCCCTAATTTTTAAAAGCAAACTGATCTCGATTGATTCAGCTTTAAGGTCAGCAGGGCCTGGAAAAATCCCCTTTAGCTTTACTCATGATAGTCCATGAGTTGCGGTCCATTAGAAATATTGTAATAAGATATCACCATCCAAAATTGCATCCAGATGGTCTTATGGAACACCTCATCTCGACATAGCCCATTGCAACCAGGAACCGATATAAAGGCTGCTAATGTGGAATTTAAATACAAGCATATCCGACTGGGAGACACTTGCCACTGAGTGGGATCCAAAAGAAAGCAATAGGGACCCTATATGAGAAAAGAACAAGAACAGTAAGTCAGATAACACGTTACTCACCACCCTGTTAAAATATAGTAGAGGTAGTCAACACAGCCACAGGGGGAAGACGAAGTCCCTTTGAAGAGGAAACTGCCAGACCGTGAAGGTAATGAGATATGAACGTGTCGGGAAAAGTCCACATACCAATGGAATGATGAGTGGAAGGAGGGGGCCTTGAGACACGAAGGGATCAACCTGCAGAAGTACAAGTGGAAGTAGAATAGAGTCAAGCAGCCAAAGACAAAGAAGGCTGCAAACGTGCTGTGTCACCTCTGGCTTCTAAAAATTCTGGAATTCCAGCAAATAAATAAGGCAGAAGAAAAGGCGCTTCCCGTAAATCTTGAAGGGCAGAAGAAGGTAAGTGAATACCCTCCAAAAATGCATCCCGACATAAGTCCCAGTAACAGACCAACCACGACATCAAGGCAAGTCCTGAAAAGGACAAACATGTCCTAGTAGTGACCAGTCAAGGGCCCAGTTCATTGTCAAGTTGTTGAGGCAATCAGTGATATCTTTCAGACAAAAGTTGAAGGGAAGAGAAGTATCTTAAAACAGTAGGAAGAGTCAAACGAATCCACAAAAATTGTGACCTGTTAAGAAAGATAACACGTTCGTACCTGGCACCCCACAGATCCAACAACGGATCCAACCTTTGAGTGTCCAAATATATATATCATCCTGACAATGATACACCAGGAGATGTTGTTCAGATAAATGAGAGGGGGAGGCATAACACCCTCACGTAATTGTGTTGCAAACCTCCCTGCATACACAGCAATATCAGGAGGAGGAGGAAAACTAAGTAATCCCCTTGAGAATGATCGGACAACAAAGCAGGGGTAGATTTAAAGGCAACTGGTTGCATCTCCAAAACTTCACAAACATGTGTAACTAACTGCTGAAAAAGGGGCAGAAGGTGGCTGATCAGGAGAGGAAGTTCTAGTGAAAGAAGGAGCAGGAAATGAGGAGTTTAAATTCTTCCAGAATATCCCCTTTCAGAATGAAAATTCAAGTCAGCACCTCCTGGAGAGATACCCCGTGGCTGCATGAAGGACTCGATTTCACCCCAAATCAGGTCACGGACAGCTACCATGGAGAGTGTCCCCACCCTACCCACCCCGACTGCTGATCACCACTAGATACCAAAGGGGGGGAACAGACGAAGGCTAAGTAGCCTCCGTGCTTGAAATCGTTACACGGGAATTCATATTCAATGTTTTTTTAAATATATTTGTAGGAAAAACAAATCTAACAAAATATATCTCTAAATAACAAAACAAAGAATTCCTGATTATTGGAAAACAAAAACTAAGAAAATGTAAATCACAAAACATTAGTCTGAATGCTTGATCGAGAAAAAGTGATTTTATTGTCTGCATACAGTGCTTATATACAGTACCTGCATAGAGGGTGTGTGAGGGCCAGCGTAAAGTTTTGCAAATTAGATATTGTCGAGAGCAGTCGAGTGGATTATATAAAGACTGGAGCAAGGGAACACAACATCAGATGGCAAAGATGAAGATCGAGAAATAGCTATTACTGTCAACAGAGGTAAGTATGTTTGAAACACACCTATCGCTATGTATACCCGAGAAGTTTCAATCTCAAACACCATTAACTATGCAATATGGAATACAAGAACTGACCTGGTCTACACTTTTATCACCACTGTGTTGCTACTATGACTGCATGACTTGTTCTAGACTACTCCAGCTACACCATTTCAACAAGTTATGAAATTTAATAGGTCAACTCATCAAAAATGTCCAATGAAACACCCACAGGAAGCATATCAGATACGGTTTGAAATGATCTCTAAGGTGAATGGAGTTGTGGAACATAAGATATTCAACTTGCTATCAGAGGCTTAACAGTTAAAAATAACAGATTAAACAACCTCTCAAAGAAAGCCAAAACAACTACCAGGCATTAGTGGCTGCCTTTCAAACAGAGTTGGAGTGTCTTATCAAAAGAAAGTTTTTAGAGCAGATGAAAGATAAGACCTTCTTGGTCTTACTCACACTTTTACCTGCTTGATGTCTTTAATCTGTAAAACCCATGTACCCTTTACTTTCTTGTTTTGCATTAGTCTTTCCTTTAATTCCATTATTCAATGATTTCAGAACATGCTTAAAATCAGATCTTAACACACTGAAGACACTGCTCTATTTTACAGCATTCATTACATGTAAAGATGTTATCCTTAATATCTGTCTTTCAAAAACACTGAGAGTTATTATAATCAGTTTTCCTTAAGTAAGAGATTTTTTTTACTGGCCACACATCTAGTTTCCATGTAAATGTAAACGGTTATATGATATGATAAATGTACTCTTATAAACAATGACAATTTTTTTTAACTTTTAAAGTTTTCAGTGCTAACTGAAGGATGGAAATCATATTCAAAAAAGACAACAAAGAACTTCAAATAAATGGTTTTTTACTCTACCTGACATTTTGGTTTATAACGTTTTTTGATGGTCTTTGAGTGTCACAGGTTACAAATTTGATTTTAAGTTATAGTAACCACAAATAATATAAGACTACAATATCACACAACATAATGCTTAAAACACTGTCAAACGAGTTCAATGACAGTTCCGACCATCAGAAGCACAAACAAGATCTAAAACAACTATTTTAAACATTATTAAGCTCTTTCATATTCTGATTCAAATCATAATCTTCCCAAGCCTCCTCAGAACAAGAAGCCTCATCCAAGCTAAGATTAATCATGAAGATGACCATGATTTCCCTGCAATGCAAGATTCAGCAGTATGATCACATCTTTAACATCATCTAAATCTGTGAAACTAAACACCTTCCACCCATTATTACAGGGTCTGGGGTTATATGTTTCACAAACAACTCATGAGGTGCCTGCCTAATCTCTCTACAACAATCAGACACTTTTTTAGAAAACAACATCTGCTCTACTGCATGTTTTGACTCCACAAAAACGTGTCATCCTTCCAGAACCACCTCAACAAGTTATTCTGCAATACAATTCTCAGTACTTCACAACAAGAACAACAAAATACTTCTATTAACCACAACTTCTAAAGCTAACAAGTTAGTGTAATTATTTTTTGTATTCGTATAAAAATACATAATTAACTCAATTTCCCATCACTTGCAAACATCCTAAAAATGTTTGTTATATTTGAATACTTTAGTTTAATCTGCATTTGTTTTCAAAAGGTTATGATATAAAACTTGTAACAGCAACAAGCTTTAGGCACCACTGATAAATGAAAACATTTTCTCACTGAATACAACATATCAAGAACTCAACATACTTTGCTACTGTTCCATTTACATTTCATTGCACTTAATTTTTTGGAAAACTTTTTGGAGTAAATTCTTCTTTACCACTATAGCTTTCTAAAGCTACATATGTATGTTTAAATGTTTAAACTACTAATAACAGTATTCATGAATAAACATTTTTGTAGTAGGTTGGACCTTAACTATTAGGAGTAATAAGGAGGAACACTGGAAGTCTAAAGCTAAACTTGTTATCAAGTAGAACCTACTCCTACTGTTAGTTATACACTCATGGTTCACCTAGTTGCCTTTTTAAATAAATTATGCATAAAATGGTTATATTTATTTTTGTTAGGTCTGTGACTTGGTTGAGTTAAGCACAAGCCTTAAATGTTTTTACTGTAAATTGTAATATTGCTTGTATTTGCAATCTTAAATTTACAAGTAAACATTCCTCCTCAATAGACAATGCAGTCTTTGGATCAGAAAATTTTCAGTCCAATATGAGTTTTATTTTTTAATACAAACTCAGTAACTATGCAGACAAGGTTTTCATATTTGTTTTATAATTTAACAGTCATAGCTATAGTTTTAAAATAAAATTATTTTAATCCAGGAATTACTTTTCTGGGAAATATATAGTAAACAACAAAACAGGGTTACTTAACAGACTTTAAAACTCATAAATACATGTCATTATGTGACTATCAAAATTAAAAAAACAATTAAATTTCAAATGCTCAGTTCAACAATAAACAGAGGTGTTGCTAAGCGCTGGCACAGAGTGACCCATGATCTGATTCTATCTGACAATTCCCCCAAACCCCAGTTGATGTTTTGAAAAATTAAAATACTGAAATGCCGAAAATTCCCACGCCTATGGGCTCAAGCCCCGAATCTTTAAAGCACCTAGCAATGATACTGAGAATAAATATTGCAAAACAACACGTATTATTATGCAATTAGCAACAATAAAATTGCTCTCTACATTAACATAATCTAATCAGACTAACGTACTTAGCCTGATGTTTTAAACATTACTTTGTTTAAAAACAAAATAATTTAGCAAACATCAACACTTTTGTAATTACTCACTTTACAGTTTACATTTAGTTTTAACTTTTACTCATTTTCTCAATCTTTACTTTCATTTAATTAAGTGGCAACGCTTTGTTTACGTCAAAAAAAAGAAAAGATAAGCAAAACAAACGACTTAACAATAAACATTATAGAGTAATATTAACAATAATATTTGTATTATAATTTCCTGTCATTAAAATCAAAGATAGCTAACTACATTATTACATTAACTGTAACACCAACAGATGAAACTAGAGAAACAATTAATCCAGTGTATAACGTAGCTAGTTTAATATACCAATCTAATAAGGGGTGTTCATGTAAATATATACATATTAACAATTATAGTGCGTTGGTTCATCAGTGAAATGAATAATATGATTACCATACCTTGCTAGCAAAAACTGAATAATTTACCGCCCAATACGTAATCATGCACATGTCATCAAAGATAAACATTACAAACCGCTAAGTAGTTTCAGCGCCCTCTCGACAATTCAGATATCAAACCTTTTGGGCAAAATTCCGAAAAATAATCATAAACCGAAAGTTAAACAATTATTCTGCCAAAAATCACTGTATTCGAAATGCAATTCACCCTCAATCAAAAATGTTAGTAAATTAGTTTTACTATATCAAGCATTTACTGAATCAATCAGAAAATCAAGTGACATTCAAAAAGTGTATAGGTATTTTATAAAATCGATTTATCTAACAATGTCATTGTCCTTCCTGCTAGTACAATCAACTATTATCTAAGAATGTTATTGCCCTTCCTGTTACTATGATCACTTATTATATAACAATATAATTATCCTTCCTGTTAATATGATAAAATATTATCTAACAATGTAATTGTCCTCTCTGTTAGAATGATAACCTATTATATAACAATGTCGTTGTCCTTCCTGTTAGTAAGATCACCTATTATTTACAATTTTATTATCCTTCCTGTTAGTATGATCACCTTTTATCTAACAATGTCATTGTGTTTCCTGTTAGTATTGTTACGACAGCGGAAATCACGTGAAGTCCGCGAATGTTGAAGATACCTCTTCGTTAGTACACCGTTTCGACAAGGTTTTGTCATCATCAGGAACAAGTAATTTACACTGACACGGATATATATATATACAGTATTGAACAAAGAAGTCACATGACCGGAACTGTTGTGAAACTTAGAAGAGGTATCTAGGTACCCCGGGGTGTTGGTTTAGAGTAGGGTTGTTTTGTTAAATTAAGATGGATTCCTTGATTTTTCGTT